GAAAATCTTTGCAAAAGGTTTTTAAATGCGTTGTGCATCATGCGTACAGTTTAAAATGCCCCAGAAGGCTGTGTGCCTCTCTAACTGAATTGGACCAGAGCCTGTCAGCTGTGTATAATGGGGCTATTCCCAGAGTAAAAAGCTCTTCAGCATAATGAAAGGTGGCAGAATTGGGTGCTTGGAGATTTTTAGCTGATTATCATGTTACCAAGTATGTCACATGCTTGTGCAGATGTTACAATCGGGGGAATAAAATTAAAAGGCTACATCATGAACAGTGGTATTTAAGAAAAAGGCTGCTAAGGGCCTGTAAGTAACTCATGGGCACCTTGAGAACATGGTATGTACCACAATTCAGTGGAAAATACCAGCCTGCTAGAGGGTTAGAAACCCTAAATGATCCAGTGATTGTTGTTTTGGTATCAAGGGTGAAATCTATAATTAATGTGAACCTGACTAAAAACTATTATCACACTTAGCAGCATCAGTTGAACCACAACCTCAGTCCAACACAACATATTCACAGCCTGCCCCCAGCTCATTTAGTGAACATGTCTCTACTCACTTGGGTTTCTCCAGAGGTTCAGGCTCCTTCCGAGCTTTGCCAACAGGGTTCTTCTTAGCTTCCTCTTCAGTGACTAAGTGGAACTCCGCTTCCACCTTGCCCTAGAATATTGATTAAGTATTTAATCCGGGGTTATTAACCAGTGACCAACTATTGACCAATTAGCATATGTGAGCTATCCCCCCAGAAGAGATAAGAAGAGTTTTCAATCTGTTGATTGAATCACATTGTGAGGATTGTGGGGAATCCCCGTCTTACAGTTTAGGAGTCCAGTTTGGTTGTATGATCTGTTAACCATCTTCATGTTTTAGGGCCACCTTTTTCTGCCTTACACTGCTTGTGCTAAGGGGCAAGGGGTGGCACTGGTCCATGAGTTTAGATTGGTCCTTAAAGACTCTCAGGACCTCAGATCTGGCCTGGGGCAGAAGAAAGAAGTAACTGCACCCTACACAAAACAGGTTCTTTCAACTTCTGTGCCAAGGTCTAAGGTGTGAAGGAGGCAAATCCAAAGAGAAGGAGCAAAACAGCAGTGGTACAGCCCTTATTTACCCACACGTAAGCTGGGTAGATCCAAAAGAAGCTTGGGGCAGGTCTGTGGAGGAACAAAGGGACTAGCTTAGGCTGAAGGAAGCTGGCCACAGGAGGGAGAGAGAGAGACTCCTCAATTTGTAGTAGTCATGGGTTGCAGGAGGGAGGATAGGACCAAATCCCAAAGAACACTCCAAAATGGCGAGGAGACTTGGGCAGGGAAAGGCTTCTGAGTAGTTCATTGTTTTTACCTAAATCTGTCTGTATCTCTTGTGCTTTCTAAAGCACAGAGTAGCTGAGGTAGAAATCTCTTTTGCAAAGCTTGTGCTTGTTTGTTTATTGCACCTAGCCCATGTCCTCGAAGTGGTGAACTGTATAATGAAGTGCTGGCAAAGCTGGGATTCTGGGAAAGGTTGTGCTTAGACAACTTAAGCACATTGGCAAGGGGCACTGGTCTCTGTGCTTAAGAAATTGGGTGAAGATTAAGAAACTGGGCAAACTCTTGGCTCTCAGAAAGGGATGTCAAAATGGGAAATGTCATCCTAGGAGTGTGCCTAGAAGCTCAGAGCCAGAGGAAGTGCCTGGAGTCTGCTCCCAGAAAGGAAATGTTGAAAGTAGAGCGGTCCAGTGTACGTGGCTCAAACACATCAGCCTGTGTGTCTAGAAGGGGAAGCCTGACCCAGACAATGACAACTGGATATCTCTTATTCATTAAAGATCCTTCCAGTTTCAAGAAATGGTCCATAAGACCACAGTTGTAAGTTGGATCCCTAGTTGGACTAGATGATCTCTTGAGGTTCCTTCCAGCTTTACTTTTCTATGAAACTATTACAGTCATAACACTTGAGTAGCACTTTGATTCTCATTTTCTCGTTCTTAGGAATCACAATAGACCTAAAATTGGAGAGCTCACTCATAAAATGTTAATGCAGAGGAAAGATCGGGGGGTTGGGATTGTCTAGTAAAATGACACTACTTGAAGTATTCATGTGCTTTTTGGTAACAACTGTAATTTTAGTCACAGGAGTAACAGATTCTAACATGGCAGTCAGTCCTGGAAGATCGCTACAAAAACAAATCTTTTAATAATTGTGCGTACCAGCAGGGCTAAAGTGCTGTATTACAGCTATTGCTCATCTGCTGCCTGACACAAAGCATCTGGATCTTTAATGGAAAATCTTTCCATTGCATCTCAGGTGCTGTTAAAATCCAAACCAGCTGTTTGCTGTTCAAAATGGAATTGATGTTTGCATGTTAATAGATCATATGGCTGCTAAGCTTTCAACTATTTCTTGTTTAAGCAATGTATCATCCCAAGCCTATAGTCAATATGTAAACCTTTTATCATCTCCCAGACTGATCTACTATGCAGTTCTTCCGGAGCTCTTCCCTGATAGTCTTTTATCTCTTTATTTCACTTGCATGCAAATAAAACTTGAGATAAGCTCTCCATGGATCTGGTTGAAAATAACACTGTACAAAATAACTCAAGGTACTTCCAAGCACCTTTCAGCTTGTTAACAGAGCTCTGGTAATAATAATACTTCACACTTAGCAGGCTCCATCTGAAGAAATCAACATGCTTTGCACACAGTAACAGAGTAAGCTGCATCATCAACATGGGTATATACCTGGAAACTGCTCAGCCAGGTCAGTCTGAGTTTGGACAGGTATTATCCTGGGTATTGTCAGGAAAATAGCTATTTCCTCACTGAATCAGTTTTTTAAATTTTCCATGCTGACTCTAACAAGTATAATTTACCATACCATCTGAGTTCACAGCTTATGTTTTATAATTCAATTTATGGTCATCATTGAAAAGTCAGAATTTCCCACCCTGCGGCATATGGCTTTATGTCTTAATCATTATGCTGACAAATTCCATGTGTTTTACACATCTCTGTAGTATATTTGTTTTCAAGGATTATAATTCAGGGTAGAATTTAAGCTTAAATACAGGCAGGTCCACAACATATCATAATAAGGTAAATGAAGGGTTTGTTGTTGTTGTTATTTTCATTCCCTTTAATGAGCTATGTAAATACATAATAATCTATGAAATAAGCAAGACCTGACTGGTAAAAAACATGCCAGATACATGCCAGTAGACTATATCAACTGCATTATTCAATATACCAAGTCCAGTCTAACAGCAAAGTAATAAATTATTAATATTAATACACCAGGCATTAAAACCCTTGCAAGACATTAATGACACAGAATTATTCCTTATCAAGATGTATCCATCTAGGTGTTTATATGCTCCTCATTAGCTCCACAGTGAACTTAACTAGGCCAAAGGAAAAACTTTAAAGCTTTTATGGAGAACCTGGTAATAGTAAGAATAAAAAGAGTGCATAGGTCAGATTGGAGAGGCTGGACACAAACTGTGATGGATTAATTCTTTGGCTGCTTTTCTTCTATGTTGCTAAGTTGGAAATACTTTGTTTTCAAAAGTATGAGTATGTTATTTAAATGTCCAGCTTCCACATGAATGACAAGACACTACATAAATTATTAGTATTGCCTGGCCTGCCATAGGCTCCACAAGCAATTTAGTTTACTGGGTGGCAATAGAGTTAAAGGAAAATAAATCACTAAAGTCACAGCTACAGAGCAAGTAAAGCTGTCTCCAAGCTATTGTAGATATGACCCTCATCTGTTCACTGAATTAAGCACGTCTCTTGACAGCCTTCACAGTAAATCCAATCAACAGCGATCCTGAAACCATAAAAGCATCCTTGGGAGACAGATCTACTGAGCAATCGAGAGCATTCCTGTCTATTTGTTTTCTCAAGGACAGCCTCTTTCCACTGTTTATGAAAGCTCATCCTGTACATCTCTGATTTAGTCTATGGGTGCATCTACACATAGTTCTACAGTGACATTATTATTGCGCCTTTTGGAAGTACTAAAGCACAGTGCAGTAACCACCCGTACTGCACCATACGCACAGCACATGGTTATTTTTACCAGCTACTTGCTAGGTGTGTGCGAAGCCGGCAGTATTCAGTTTGGATTCAACCCAATTTGCAGGACAGTGATTCGATTTGCTGATTTGGATCGCTGTCCCAATTCAATTTGGCTGAATCTGAAGATTTGATTCTGATTCAGAGAATCAGCGATTCAGCCATAGACACAACTTTATATGGTTTTTTTATGTACCTTGAGGTACCAGGCACGGCTCATGAATGCTGAGATGGTGGGATGGATGGAGTGTCCCACAGGAGCATGGGGGGCGGTCCCTTGTTCACTCAGCGGTGGACCCCCACCCCCTGGCGACCGCCTGATCCAGTCCAACTCTCTGCGGAAGGCAGGATCATCCCTGACAAAGCCATCCCTGCTAAGTGGCTGTCTTGCCTGCTCTTGCAAATTTCCAGGGATATACCACTTTTTCTAATGGAAAAGGGAGAATGTCTAGAGACTTCCTGAAACCCACTGGAGACTTCACTATGGCTATTAGTATTAAGCAATATAACAATGGAAGCCAGCAGTAGGAAACACAAAGTTAGATGGATACCTGGGACATATGATCTCAGCTCATTTGAAAACATTTTTGCCCTGCTGAAGCCCTCACCATAAATGAAATTTGACAATAAGCTCGTTTAGCACGCATAACGTGCCCTATAGATTTGCACACCCTGGAGTTATAGTTATATCGTTCTGGGGACTCCTGAAATCTAATGGGTTTAACAGCCCTTTGATGTTTCAGGGAGTTTGTCATTTCCCCTTGCAATCGTGTACAATCCCATTGTGCCACTGCATCAGGGAAATACTGGGCTTAAAACATGCTGAAAAATGTAAAGCATACTTTGTATGCTCCTGTTAGGATGTATTCTGTAATACATCTCTTGCAAAAGTAAGAGTAGACTCTTAGGTAATGTTTAATGAAGTCTGCTACTCAGCTGAGGTTGAGCACTGTACTAATGAAGCTAGACTACTTCTGATACTTGTGCTACCTTGTTCGAAAGCTGCCTCAGGTCTCTCCCCATGACACTGTATTGTGTCATGAAGACAAACCCTAAGAACCAGACTCTTGGCCTGCTTAAATCACAAGATAAAGGGGGACTTAATGTGACCTGAATGACACAAATGGCAATTCCCCCAGGGCAGGGGAATCCTGAGATGACTTAAAGTTAGCTTGATGCATCTGCTTCACTCCACTCTATCTTTCCACTGCAGCTCTGGCATGTGAGAGACGGGAGCGGGCAAAGCCATAAAAGAGTGTACTCAGATGACTCAGGGCAGCATGCCCAGAAAACCGTTCTAATCAGTGTGAATTAGAACAGCCCTGTGGATGTACAACATATGGCATAATGTTGCTCTTCAGTTGCCCAGCATCTTTGTTTCATATTTGTGAGGCACCTCTCACCAGAGTGTCTGTACATGAAACAATGCTCCACAGCCTTAGATCATCCTTCTAAATCAAAAGGGCTCTGCTTACAGTGAGCTCCCCAGCTTTGATGAAAGGCCACCAGCCTCTGACACGCTTCTGCTGAAATATGGAGATAGTGTTTTCTTCACTTGTTGCTGTCGCTATGCTTAAGTCACAGCTCTTGGCTGACTTCGCTGCCCGAGGAAATCCATTCAGGTTCATTTCGAGGGAGCCTGGAGGGAAAAAATCCCACAACATCATGCAGAGACAAACCAGATGTAAAGATAATCAACCACTTTCAACGAAGACAAGCACAGCACCTCTGCTGAAGCTTGAACAGGATAGTAAACCAGTCTAGTCTGAAACTATCTTTGCACCATTTGTCATCTGCTTGTATAGCCCCTATCTGAGTACATAATCATTCAAGCACATGGATTATATTTAAATACAGTGATCAGATGCTATCTAGACCTGGCTTGACAAATACCCCAATACTACCTCATATACAGTTCAAAGTAGTAGTTCTCAAAAATGTTTGTGAAATAGTGGTGTGAAGAGCCTAGGAAGGAGACTGAACAAGACCCCGACCTTCAGAATATCCTGTACTGCCCTCACTGGGGAGGAAGGACAAGAAGACTTGGCTCCACCAAACTTCTGAAAAACATTCAGAGCTTGGATATACTGATCTGCCATTGCACATACCAGCATAATGAAATCCTTCATAAAAAAAGTCAGAGAGATGTGCAATGTGTGTTATTGATCTGCCTAGTGTTTATTTCAGTTTCTACCTTTCTGTCTAGCTATATTGTAAAATCAATGAAAATGGAGCCATGAACAGGAAGGCAGCAAACACGAGTTCCAAAGGGGGTTTGCAGAGAAAAAAGGATAACGCACTCTGACAGGATCCAGCAAAGATAAAATGCCCTGCTTAAATCTCCATCAATAGCACAAATGGGCCGAAATGTTCAAAGGTGGCTAGAGATCTGGAGTACATTGATTTTTTGGGTACCTAACCTAAGGCACCTTAAAAAGGCCCAATTTTCAGAGTTGGTCTTCGGCCCTTTTGAATGTGATAGCTCAGACTATATTGCAGCTCTAAGGCTGGAAACAGGCGTTGCCTTTGTGCTGCCATAAACATTTTACCGACAACACAAAGGCCAAGTAAACAGATGTTCAGAACAAGGCTGGAGGTGAAAGCCTAGCCCTACTGGAGTGAATTAGAGCTTTCCCACTGACTTCCTGAGCCTAGGATTTCATCCCAGATCTTTATTTATTTGAAGTACCACATTTTAGATACTCAAAAATGAGCAATATTGAAACAACTTGTTCTTTTCAGGACACACTGCAGCACTCACCTTTTAACATTAGTATTTCTTAATCCTGACCTGACACAGGACAATGTAAATATGTAGATGGGGCAGCAATACATAGATAACATAAACAGGGAAGAGAAAGGAGAAGGAAAGCAAGCATTTGTCTAGATCAGTGCTTCTCAAACTATCTGATGTGGCAGACTGGCAATTTTTTTTCCAGTGGGCCAGCGACCAGTGCCCAGTTCAGCTGGTGGCAACAAATGCATGTAACAGCGCTACACAAATGCACGACTGGCTGTTTCTTTCTCTTTCCTCACCTCGCACGACGTGACGTCACCTGAGGTGTTGGAACATATGAACTGTGGTGCTATGAAATATCAATGTTATGCTTCTGAAAATATACTTCTTTCTTTCCTGGCAACTCGCTGCAGACCAGCAACCGGTGGCTTGCAGACCGGCACTGGTCCGCGGACCACCACTTTGAGAAGCACCGGTCTAGATGATCTTTTAAGGTTTGAAGACTGTAAATCCTAAAGAAAAGAATTTTCAGTGACCTAATCAATCTGATTAAAAGATATGTTGGGATGAATATGATGAAATGTTTCCAAACAGGGCAAGTAGGTGATAATTCTTAAAGAGATGTGTTAGAAAGCCAGTAATGAGAGATTGTACACTGAAAAAGATAAAATGCTCAAGACTATATTCCTGAAAGGTAAGTGGGAAATCCATCGTTGTTGGGGTGATTGACCGAAAGAGGCTGTTTTCATATGTAATTTCTAGGATTTTTTATAAACAAGGTTACAGCAAATTGCCTAGACTTAAGATCATATTAAATAATGGTTGATATTACTGAAAAATGTGATTATCATTTCATCGCTGGGGTTGAAAAGGGCAACTATTAAATAAGTGCCATAAATAAACCATGACAGGCCTATCCTTTTGTGGGCCAAAACCATGTACTTAGACATTCTAGGAGTTAAATGGATTGGAGGAGGACAATTGAAAGTTGGGCCCTAGAAAACTCTGCATGTTTTCCTACAAAACAAAGGACTATGATAATTTTAGCTGAAGTTCAGTGGGCCTCACTTACCAAGGAAATCATCTGATGAAAGCCTTTCGAAGTCCCAAACCTGTAATACTAGCACTGCTGGGATTTTGCGTTCTGTTTTGTCCAGGGAAAATATGTTCTCTCTTTTACTGACTACCATTTGTTTCTCAGCCGGGAGGTAGTGGAATGGGTACACAAACCGCCAGTTGAAGTTCCCTTCTCCAGTCAAGGAGTTGTAATGCACATCTGTCTCCTGCTTGTCATCTTCCAGGCCTTTTAACCAGCTGCAGCATTCATATATTTGAAGACATTCATGTTAGTAGGGGGGCTGTATTGTAGCCACTAACTTTCAATGACAAAAAAATCATTGTATATATGTATTTTTCATAATCAATGATAGTGGAGCAACCAGAAGGTTCATGGAGTATAAATAACCATTCAAAATATGTCTCAGGCTTACAGATGATACAAAGTGATGCCAAAAGTTTAGTGATATGAAGTGAATTCTATTTAGATCAGACTTGCAAAATTCTAATTCACCCACTCACCAATGGTTAGTATTTTTTTCTAAGACAGGCAAACAAAATATCATTATCACTTTCATTATTAATCACCAAGAATAGATCTTGCACTTGGCTGGTGAATTTCATGAGTGTCACAAGGCTGATTTGTGGCTTTGATATCAGAGTCAAGATCATTTGTAGCTGCAGGTGCTGTAGATTGAAGGATGTCAAGCTGACTCATTTCCCCAAAGTTATCTTTTCTTTTTTTTATTATTTTCTTATGCAGCACAAACTGAGTGGATTGGCATACTACATAAATAATATGTGTTTCCCTAAAAACACATTCCTTTTGAAGGTGCTATTTAAACGTACATTTCCTTAACTTTTCATAAATAGACCTTTAAAAATATTTAAATGGATACTATAGCCCCAAAATAGTTATCCTGTCCCAGAAAGTGGCATGGTCACAAGAAGGTAATTTGGAAATATTAGTTGTGACATAGCTTATACGAAACACAGGTACGACAAATGCTCACTGGTGTCCAGATTGCTAGAAGTTCATGTTGTATAAAATGTATTGCAGTCTAGTTATTAGGCATTCAGACTGGGTAATAAGAAGCTCCTCATTACTATCTTTGGATTAGATCGTATCCCTGGATCAAGAGAATGACTCAGGGCATATTTACATTAGTCACTGCTATGACTGCAGTTCAGTAGACATAACAAACTAGCTTTAAACTATTTAGCTTAGGTACTGAAAGCAGTGTAACAGTGGTGGCATAGGCCTCCATGTGTGCTAGGTACCTGAGTATTTACTAAGCTTCTGGCCCATTCTGTGTTCTGAGTTGTGTGCTGTTGCTGTTGTGGTATCATCTGAGTACACTTGTTTAAAGCTAGCCTAGGTATATCTCCACGAGTTGTAGTGACTTCAGTGAAGCCATACACCTGAGGGAAGTAGAATGGAGTAAGCACATGCTACCAAGCTGCTGTGTCTCTATATGTAGCTTGACTTTCTCATTATCCTCAAGGGTCTTTCAGAATGAGCAAACCTGATAAAATCTCCCAGTGAAGACACCAGAGCATAAATAAATCTAACTGTTCTTCCTCCAGCTCTTTGCACCAATCACTGGCAATGGACAAACTTCATACAGTCTTCAGACTCATTTTTTGGTTCACATAAGTCCCTTAGGCTAAGGACAGAAGTTACACATAAACTGGTTTTTAAGTCATCAGAAACTGGTTTAAACCTGTAACAGAAAAAAATTCAGTGCACATAAACCAGTTTCAAAATGGCTGAAACTGGCCTAAGATAAACCTGGTTGAATGTAGTATCAGACTTAACTGATTTAGGTCAAACCAGTTTATGAAACTTCTGTTTCAGGCTCCTTCCTGGTTAAAGTTAAATCACAGCCACCCAGCATCCCAGCATGCTTTCCAGCCCTGGGCTGGGCTGGGCTGTGTTGTCTGCTCCAGCAGAGAAGGGTTGGAGTGATGGGGAGGGGGTTAGGGACTGCCCTGCCAAGGCAAACCCCAGGTGGGGTCTGGGGCGAGGGAAGGGGGTTAAACTTCCCTTCCTCAAGTACAGAGCTGCCCTGCCCTGCTAATAACTTACAGTGGGCTACGACTGTGGACTATACATCCCAGAGGCACCTAGAAGCAGGAAGAGGAAGTGATGAGCATCCCTGAAGAGTCCTGCTGCTATGATTCTGGAATGCAAATCCCAGAGACCTCGAGAGCAGCAGGAAGAGGAAGTGAACATGTAGCCCACACTGGCTATGTGCCAGAGATCCATACTTTAGTGCACCCTGGCTTCTGGCCTAAGCCATTGCAGGCATGTGGCTGCATTTTCTAAATCAAAAGTGAATGTCTGTCCAGTTGTTTCTCAGTTTAATTTCTGTAGCTTAGACTAACTTGCAAAGACTGAATCAATTCAGCCTCAGGCTTTTTGACTGTCTGTACTTAGCTTTAAAGTCCCATGCTCAAAAAACAGAGGCAGTAACACACATCTAATCTACACAGTCCTCTCTTGATCTGTGAAACTACATGAAACATCTCAAGAGATACTCACAGGCCTTTTATGCTGAAAGACTTGGGGCTGTTCAGCCTGGAGAAGAGAAGACTCATAGGGGACTTGGTGGCAGTCTATACGTATATTAGGGGCATACATCAGGGCCTGGGGGAGCATCTATTCACCATGGCACCCCATGGGAAGACAAGAAACAATAGGCACAAACTGAGGATTGCTTCAGATTGGACACAAGGAAAAACTTCTTTACAAGTTGAGTGCTGAGGGTCTGGAACAGACTCCCCCCAGAGCTGGTACAGTCACCCACCTTGGTGATCTTCAAAAAGTGTCTTGATGCCCACTTTGCTGGAGTCATCTTACCCCAGCAGTCTTTCCTGCCCAAGTGCAGGGGGGCTGGACCCAATAATCTTGTAAGGTCACTTCCAGCCCCTAACATCTATGAATCTATGACATAATTATTTTCCTTTTATGGCATATTGGCACTTCCATTCAAGTCCTCTCTAAAAGCAGAAAGTGCAGAGAACCACACAAAAAAAGGAAAAATAATTTCTAACAAGTAATCTGAACCTTTTGTTAAAAATGTAGTTCATTTTCATTTCACATTTAAGTCAGCTCTGCTTTAATTTTGTTCAATGAATTCATTCATCCCTGCTGACTATGCTTCATTACTGCTCCAAAGGTAAAACAGGGCTTTCATTTCCAATATAGCATAGAGAGAACACTAAAAAGAAGCTAGAAATGCTAATGAAACATACATACTGACTCCTGTCATTTACACATGCACCTATTTTGATCAACAAATGGTTGATTAAAATATGTCTCCCAAAGGGATCTCCTACATTACTGCTCTTTTCTTATTAATAATTTCTCTACCCTGGTTATAATTCCTTTCACCTCAATAAATAACAATGTAATGCAGACATCCCTTAGGGATTAAAAACAATGAAGGCTTTTACATTTTACCCATTTATATTTTGGATTTGATTTGTATGCATTTATTCCTGATTATTGTTTGTATGAGAAATGAATCAGCCCTGTGTTTACATTTCAAATTCTTTGACTTTAAAAGAGAAAGAACACTAGACATTATCCAGAATGGCTAGCTACTCTTGGCAGGCACTTACAGTAAATCACCAGGATCACAGCAAGGTTTTATAAGGACAGCTATATTAACACAGCAGCATAATATGTGACACTGATTTTTTAAAATAAAATGTTAATGGTTTGGTTAAAGGATAAATAAGAAAGAAGGGGTGTCCAGATGAACCTACCCTTTAACATAGATATCACTTGATTTTTGTCCCGTGAAGATATTCTCATCCTCTAAAACGACATCTTCTGTATTCCAGATTATTATTCTTAATTCATAACTGAAAGAAAGGAATCAGATGTTTGTATACTTGAATTTAAAGGCTTTCTTGTTCATCCGTATTCAACTCACCTGAGTATGCGTTAGGTGTGATCAGACAGTAGTCAAAACCTTCATTGAACTAATTAATAATATGCCAACTGATTTAAATGGATCTAAATCAGGCCTCTTTTGTGTACTGTGATAGAATAGGATCTGGTCTCTAGGCATTCAGAGCAAAGTGATGGAGGGTATCACTGGCAGCCTCAGAAAGGTGGAAAATTCCTTGCTGATTGTTTGCATATGAGCCTTTTTTAGTTCTATTCATAAAAACGCTGCAGTGAGATAGGTCTGACAGTATCCTCTCCACAACCCACAAAATACTGAGCAACTTTTTAATGAGAACAAAACCCATGTAGGAAGACATGGGGTTTCAGTTTTAGAAAAATGTGTTGATGACATATGATTTTTTTTTAATCTGGTGCATTAAAATGGAAGGAAAGTGCTGTTTAGAAATATCTGTAAGGTACAGGAGAAAATAAACATCTTCAGGGAGGACATTTTCAAGTGCTATCAAAAAGGAGGCACGTTCTCCCTTACTCTTTTCACTTTGACTACTTATGGGTGTGGGAAGCTCTAAAAACTACAGCTGGCCTGAACTCAAGATTTCTGAGTAAATAGTGATATTTCAAAATCTGAGTTTATTCTGATATAGAATAAACACATAGTTTGAAAAATCTTCCATAAATGTAAAATTAAAAAAAGAACTGATTAGGCAGTGCATGATGTATCTGAAATATGTTCCTTTAGGAATGTGTGTGAGCCACAGTGAAACTGACAAACACATCAATTTCAATCAGTCATGCTGGAACCTCCCCGGCTGCTGCTCCAGGGCTGTCCTTCTTTGTGGATGCCTGCAGGCTCAAAATCCTTCCACATGTCCACACTGTCTGGTTCCTTTGGGAACTGGGCAGCCCGAGGAATAGCCTGGTCCAGAAATCTGGAAGCTCTGGGGCCTGCTTGACAGGACAGCCCTGGAGCTCTGGACCCTGGAAACCCACCAGAAAACCAGGCCGAGCTTTCATCAGTATCTGCCTAGAAACAGGCTTGTGGTTTGATAAAACTTCCTCAAACCTAAGATATTTCTGTGAAACATTTCAGATTCTACAAATCAGCATTTTCTGACAAAACTCTGTTTCAGTGTCAGATTTCCAACCAGCTGCCCTAGGAACAAACACATCTACATGTTTGCCTAGCTATAGAACTTGGTCACTGTTCCTATGCTCTGCTTCTTCAGCCCAATTGGCATTGAGCATATCCCAAAATGTAAGCCTCTTGCAGATACGTAAACCTCTCTTATTTGTTCTGATGACTAATATTTTAAAAATATTTGTCTACGTTTCTGTAGGCTGTAAATTGGCAACAGCATTTTGCTCTTGCAAATATTATCAAGTTCCTGCTTTGAAAACTGCCTGCTGACAAGCAGCCTCACATAAAATCCCTGTCTAATGAAAACACTCATTATAGAGGCTTCTTCTTGTCAAAGTTTGAAACTTAGTTAAATATACATAGAAAGGAGAAAAATATTATTTTATAGCATTGCCTTTTGCTTCAACATAAACAATGAACTAATGATAGCTGTGAAACTGTTCCAGACACAAAGATTACTCAAGAAAGCCCTTCTTAAAATACGGGATTAAAGTTCTTTTGGAATGAGCAAACAATTCTCTTTTATTATTTGCCCAACAGTTTATCAAGTTAACTCATTCAGCGAAATGTCACAGAGGGGAGGAGATACACATGCCTGAAATTGTAGAAGTGTCGTAATTTTGCTTTAGCTGTGATGGACTAGGGAGCATATAAAAGGCAAGATTTGGTGATATCTGTTATGGGAGCACATTTATAGCTGGGAGAGATGGGAGACAAGCTTTTAGGTGCAAAATGCATTTCAAGATATTGACCAGTGGTCATGTACTTTATAAAAGTGGGAAAGCTAACATGGCATAGAAAGCACATTACAACTTTGGAATAGAGTTCAAAATAGGGGTAATAACTGTAAGAGTCACTGCAGCTGCTAGTTGTACTTTGGTCTGTTTAGCATTGCTGAATAAATCACTTCAAATCATTTATTCAAGACTCGACACCTTTCTAAAAAGATATGATAGCGCTCTAACAGAAGATATGTGCTTAATACATAGATTCCAGGGTGGCTTAGGTTATACAGGAGGCCAGACTGGATAACTGTAATGGTCTCTTCTGCCTTTGTGGCAGTGATTCACAGTTTAAATAGTGGTGTGAGATTCCACTTCTTGCCAGGCCCTTAGAAAAAGAGAATACTTGCAGACTGATGCCAGTACACTGGCAGGAATTACATACCCTTTGGGTTTTCTTGGGGAAATATCAACAGGAGGTCCTGGTAGAGGCATGTCTTTGGGAAACATGTCCACCCACATCTGCACACGACCCTTTAAAAAAAGAAGAAACAAGCAACACTGTTACCCTTCCTTAGCAAGATTTTAAAGGGCACTAAAAATGTAGTGCTAAATTACAAAAAGCACAAGAAAAAATCATCTTGGGATCATCTGTGTCATCAAGCTTCTTGCACTGTGTTGTTCTTCAGACACAAGTGACCTGGATTTCAGTATAGACTATTGCTGATATTTTTATAGTTGATTCTTTGGACTTTCCCCTCCTTCCTATAAAGTTCTCTATGTTGAGGCCTGGTTCATCTCTGCTGCCTGCCTCTCCTCCAGTGGTACATACTTTAACCTGCAAAATAACTTGGGTTGATCCCAACCCTAGTCTTATGACTAGACCTCATGCTTATACAGGCTACATGCAACATAGACACCTCCACAGTTGATGTGTTTAATCTCTGACACTGCCCCACTGCTACCACTACTTATTTTATCAGGGGCGGAGTTTGTCTGAGCAGTAAACCGGACCGAGGTTTCTATGAGCAAACTCCAGCTTGATTCTGTTCAGGAGTTTCACATTTTCATTTGTTCTGTACACTTGGGATTCCCAGCAGCACCCAACATGCTGAAACACAGCAAACCAGTTCTTGTGGTACTTTCAAGTCAGAACCCAGGTGGAACCATTTGAAATGTTGTGAGAAAGATTTTTCGTGAACTTTCTAGCTCAATTCCAGAGACTCAAAAGGTTTGGATAACTTTGGGTGCTTACCTAAATGGAATCCAGATTTTGACATTTTCTGGTTTGGTTATCACAGGAAATGTTGTATGGAATCAATGGCTATCTAGAAATTTTACCTTTTTAACTGTACTGCACACTAGCAGAACACCGTAGCAGTGATGAGGACAAAGGCCAAATCCTTGTGTTCCCAAATGACCCCTATGTGGGAACTAGCCATTGGCTAGGCTGCAGTACTGGACAAAAAGACCTAGGGATTACAGTGGACCAGACACTGGACACAACCCAACAGAGTGCTCTTGTTCCACAAAAAAAAAAAAAACCAAACCCGAAAAAAAGAAAAGATAGCCAATAGCATACTGGGTTGTATAAACAGGAGTGTCACTTCCAAATCAAGGGAAATGATCCTTCTGCTCTGACACTGATGAGGCTTCACTGGGAACGCTAGAAACAACAGTAATTGGAGCAGAGGAATCCCTCTCTTGTGCTTGGGGCTTCCATCACTTGTAGGCTTATCTACCTGCTCCATGCCCGGTTTATCCTTGTGATAGAGGGGCCTGGTTTCAATGTGCTCTGGAACCAGCTTGCATCCAACCTCAGGGATTTCTTCCCAGGAGTGTAAAACTTTTAAGGCAAGGTGTTCATATGATTCCACTGGCTCTTCTAAACAAAAGAATAAAACAGAGCTGAATTAATATACAAGGGCTCTAACTAACGTGGCCTGGCTGTTATTAAAGACACTCATTATAAGCCTGCTTATGTTTAAAGCAAGGCTTATTGCTTCCCAAGAGAAAAGAGAGGTGTCATAAACACATTTAATTCCTGTAAGTAAGAGCACTCAGGGGGGTGACTGGAAGTTTAGTGCTTAGAATGAAGCTAAGCTGTAAAACACAGTGAATTGTTTCAGCTTTGTAACAGCCTGTTTCAGGGCTAAATCTAACATTAGAATGATAAAGTTTTGCCAGTTTGCTTTCATCTTCTTAGAATAGATCCTTAAGTTAGATTTAAAACAAAAAAAGTTTTGGTTTTTCAAAGAAAGGGGGATCTGCCATTTTCTTGAAGCATCAGAAAATGTCAGTGATTAAGTGCTAGAGCCTGTATATCACATCTTTTGTCTTGGGATGGCAGCAATGGACAGCCCTGGGGAGCCAAAGTCATATCCTGAGTGAAGAACACTTAAGCTGAAAGATGATAAAAAGTAAACTCCATGGACAAAAGTCTGCCTTGTCCTGGGCAATGGCATGCTGGGCAGGGGAAAGAAAGGGCCTTACTAGCAGTGGCCATTGATACTGTGCCTTTGAGAGGCATACTGACTCAGCAATGGTTCAGTAACAATGGTCACAAACTGACAGAGAGCAGATTTAGGCTAGACATCAGGAAGAACTTCTTTATGGTGAGACTTACCAGGCTCTGGAATGGGCTTCCGAGGGAGGTGGTGCTCTCCCCTACCCTGGGGGTCTTTAAGAGAAGGCTGGACATGCACATGGCTGGGGTCATCTGACCCCAGCACTCTTTCCAGCCTAGGCAGGGGGTCAGACTCGATGATCTGTTGAGGTCCCTTCTGACCCAAGCATCTATGAATCTATGAACAGGCACAAGGGGGCAAGTTGGAAGCAGCTACTACAAGCACTCCTCCCAATGAACCCTGGGAGGCAGAGGATCAAGTCTAGTCCTGTTCTTCCAAAGGTCTCTTGGAGTCATTAGTGTTTAAACAATTCTCCTGCTTGGTGCATCTTTGGAGGCACAGCCATAATGTGGCCCTCTTTTACTAAAAATGTTGCCTCAGTCCTATGTCCCTGGCCTGCTTGGACAAAGGAGAAACAGGAGAGATGGCTACGACATATTTGAATGAAGGAAAAGTTCAGACTTTGCAGATGAAATGGACACTGAAAGGGAGAAAAAACACCAGAAGGTCGATTCCTGCTACAGTGACATTTAACTTGTGCTAACTGCCCTCTGAGCATCTCAAAGTTACACCACTTCAGGTGAGAATTAACATGTGCTACCTAGCTTGTGTTAGGGTAACTTCAGTCTTTTCCACAGAGATAAAATGAGCAATTTGTAATCTTCTAGCATCCCAGAATGCACCACTTCCAGCCGCCTCCTCCCCACCCAGAGCAGGGATAGAGGTCCTTGCTGCACCCCTTCTTACTGGCTCTCTCAAGAGCTGCACAGACAAGAAACGGTATTACTCATAATGTGCAACTGCTCACTGCACATCCTAACTTTAACGCAGCTTAACATTCCCCAGATTTAGTGTGTTCTAAGTGTAATGTGTAACTTCACCCATTTGTCTAACCTACTCTGAAAACCTTTGAATATCATTGCAGAATGCCAAAATCTCCTCTCCAGTTAGTGAGTTTGCTGCTATGCTACAAAATCTTTACTTCTGGTGGAAAGACAGTGGAGTTAATATCTTGTCTAGCTCTTTCAGAAGGAAGGCGGGACAGAGCTGTGGTTCCAGCACTGAAGCAGCAACTGAGTTTTAAACCCAGCACTGATACAACCTTGCTTTTCAACCTTTGGCCTGCCACTTAAATTCTCCATGTCTCCATTTCCCCACCTGTAAAAAGGAAGTAATTATACTTCCATCCCTTGCAACTACTGCCCTTCCCTCCCAGATCACCTACTGCCTAAGATGTTCAGATTCTAGCAATGAGCACCGTAGAAACCACTGTGTGAAAATACCTTTTTTGATTCTTTTTGGAATACTGGTTTGGATCAGGAGCATGCAGCACACTCAATGCCATACTTGTACAAGCTATGGGTAATGTGGGTTGAGCTATCTGTGCTTTTGTTTATATGATCTTGTCTGCTGCTGTTGAAGTCCTAAGGCTTGTTTTGGCGATAAAGCAGAGTACTACGAAGTCTGGTGTTGGGAATTGCACCTCTTCCCCGACCCAATGAAGAAAATAAGTGGGAGTTTTGAAGTCATGCAACATAAACCTCTCTGGCTAGCAAACCCTAAGTGGGCTTCATTCCTTCCCTCAATGGTGGAGCATCAGCAATAGCTTCCAGTGCAAGAGTAGACAGTAGTTAGGTGTCTATTAAGTGGAATCTCGTAAGCACAACTGAAGTTTCCCCAGGCAAAACCAGAGGCTCCTACATAACTGCAAAGAGCCTCCCACTCCCTTGTGTACCATTCCACTCTTGTTAGCCACTCAAGGTATCCATCTGAGTCTATCATTGCCTCCCAACCCATCCTCAAAGCACCTCCTACATAATCACTGCTAGCTCTGGCACCCCTCACCTCCCCACCACATATGCAACCAAGACCTGAGCTCTCTGCTATTCTTAGCTTGCACCTTGAATTCCTCATGTTCACAGAAGCAGCAACTTCTGCAATGCCTCCTAGATTCATAAGGCAACAAGCTCCCTGGAAAGGCCAAGAGTAGAACTCAAGCCAGTGTCCTAATACAGCTATGGTGCTGCAGAAATAGTGAAGATAATAGTATAAGTGATAACAACCAAGAAGGGTAACATTTTGGGGGGCGCATGTTTTAGTGGGTAAGGCACTGGATTAGAGCCTATTGACCTGCTGTGTGACCCTGTGTGAGTTTATTTCTCTTTGTATTTGTGTTTCCCCTCCCATCCTTGTGTACTGAGGTTGGCAGGTTTTCAGGGCAGAGACTGTCACTTGCCATTTGCTCCTATGGTGCCTGGCAGAGAGGGAATACAATCTCAGCTGCAAACTCAATGAACCATTGTATGATTAAACAAAGAAAGCACATAGTTACCATTCTCGTCCTCACTGAAGAGCGTTTGCCCCTTAAAGATTTTGGTTCCTACTTGTATCTGTCCTCGTTGCATGTAGGGCCCTCTCAGTTTGTTGTCCCTGCACAACTTGGTGAGGATTTCAGTGGGTTTGGTTGCATCTCTCCAGGCATTGTACCCTTCTCTGCAGTGAGGGGAGAAAGGAGAGAAAAATGGGGAAGGCATTCTATACAACTAGACACTGTAACCGGTCAGGAGCACTACGCTGAATGTCAGGGTCCCTGGCCAATGGGCTTGTTGTATGGGAACACAAGGATGAATGGAAAAAAAATAATGTTATGCAAGTGACACAAGCCAGAGTTCCACAAGTCCTGTGAATCTGCTGCATAGCATTATAGATCCATCCCAGTGAGTGTGACATCTCAGCACCACTTCTCTGGCTAAGGAACACCGAGCAGACTTCTTCTGGAGCTGGCAAATGCCACACCTTCCTCAAGGAGTTTCCTCTGTGTACCTGGAATCCAGAATCCCGATCCCTCTTTCTTTCAAAATAAACTGAGCAGGGCTCACTCTTTTCTTTTAAAATGCTCAAGAAGATGATGTCTCCACAGCTGTCTTTTGTACAATAGTTTGGTAGCTGTAACACTTGCCTATAAGGCTAGGGACAGCCATTACACATAAACCAGTTTAAGTGATCATAAACTGGTTTAAACCTGTAACAGAACAGATGTTCAGTGCACATAAACCAGTTTGAGAATGGCTGAAACTGGTTTGAGATAAACATGGTTGAATGTAGTATCAAACTTCACTAATTTGGCTCAAGCCAGTTTATGCAATGTCTGTCCCAGACCCCTTGCTGGTTTAAGCTAAACCAGACACTCCCAGCATCCTGGCATGCTCTCTGGGCATGCTCTACAGCAGGGCTGGCCCCTCCCCTCTGCTCCCTGCCTGCAGCTCTGGCACAGACTGTGGGCTGCTCTCCCCTCCCCTCACCACTCTCTGCTAAGCAGGAATTTCCCCCTCCTCTCTGCCTTGCTGAGGAGGTGTCTGTGTATTAGCTAGCGGACCACATGCTGGCTGCAGTCCCTGCTGAGTCAACAGGTAGAATCAACAGGGAGAATCAACAAGTAGCTGGTCATGCCCCTCTATTGTTTTCTTATTTGGGTGATAAACACTGTTATCAATTCTCTCTGGGCTAATCAGAACTTCTGCCACACCCCACTCAGCTCCATGCTGTGGAAGGAAGGGAGGGCTGCTCTAATGCCCCCCTAGCTTCTAGCCTAAGCCACTGCGGGCATGTGCCTGTATTTCTGGGATGGCTGTCCAGTTACAAAACTGATTTAGCTTAGCCAGGTTATATTAACCTGCAAAGATTGAATCAATTCAGGCTCATGCTTTTTGAATGTTTGTACCTAACCTAAGAGGAAGACCTAGGTTCAATTTTCACCTCTGCCTCAGGGTATTAAAGCCCACAGCTCCCAGGAGAGTGCCCCAACCACAAGACCAAAGGTTGTTCTGGAAGGGGGCAAAGGCCACCCTTCCTGTGGAAGCAGGGCTAACTCAGTGGCCAAGAGTACGAGAGTCATTGGGCAAGAGAGTGAGAGCACACACACAAGAAAGTCTGACTGCAACGTAGCAGTGGGGAGTCCTGGCTTCCTGCCTGGGCTCCCAGGACTGTTTCTTTACTTTATCCAATGTCTTTGTAAGGTAAGACACAGAACAGGCAGCAGAACCCACGACTCGCCCCTCCCAGAGAAGTACTGAACCCCCAGGCTAGATTCAGGCTCCTTCTTGGGTTTTCTCTGACCAAATGAGTCTTAAATCCTTTTCTATATAGTTTATTATACATTAAACCCAGGGCCAGGTCATGAAACAACACTCAGTCTGACTACTGATGTAAAACATGGCATTATTTCCACTATCTCCAAAATCCAGAAGCAAATCCTCTTCTCTCATATTTATCTGAAATTACAGAGAGGTTTTACTGGTTGTGATATAATTACTCTGCATTTCTACATACAAAATCAAGAGCAGGATGGAGTCTGTTCACTGCTGCACAGCCATCCCTGACAGCTATATTTATTTACACTTTTAGCCAGTAAAATTTCCAATTGAAGTTTCTTCAGTGGAGACATTTAAATACAGACAGTTGGCTTGTTAGGACATTTTGTGACCAAACATTGCTCTTAGTTTTAAAAATCAAGTGGTGTCCATACAGATTGTCAGCTACTCTAAAGCCACTGCTGAACTTTGTGGCAGGATTCAATTTAGCAAACACTACAAAATGTAATGGTTGGAAAAAAGGCACTATTTGGCTGCATGCAGAAACTTCTCCACAGATCACTTATTTACCATGCAGGCACACAACAAGCATCTGAAGAGAATCTTACATTTCATATTGACTCTGGAGCCCACAGGTAGCTCGGTGCCTGCTGTAGAAACGATTTTCCAGATCAATTTTTGTTTCTCCGATGAGGTCATCTGTTCCAATCAAGTCATGGTCATAGATCAGGATGGAGAGCAGGGAATCCTTTGGGAAAGTGGCCTGTATTTCAAAAGACCTAGGACAAAAATGAGTAAGCACTTGTCAGCCAAATCATTTTTAAAGCTAAATTAATTAAGATATAGCACAGTAAACACATGAATCAAGCAACACATGCTGAGCCAAGTGTTCAGAAGAGGTGAAATCTGTAAGAGCTAGAGATGCTCAGTGCTTCTGGAAAACCAGCTTTACTGGCCAGATTTTCAAAAACTCTTGAAAATGTGGCCTCCATGGGCACGTACAAATGAGTGTGCATGTGTGGTATGCGGTGCTTCAAACCACATGCACCACACATACCGGCATTTGCCACACTGCTGATTTGTAGTGTGGTGAGTTTTTTGACACCTAGAGATCCCAGCAGCAGTGTGCACCACCTGAAACTGGATCCTGCCAGCTGGAGCCACACTCTGACTGCCCGCCAGGCTCCATGCACCGTACTGCTGCTGCTGGAGCCCTGGGAAGCCCCCAGCACCCCAGGTAAGGCTTCTGGGGCCACAGCCTCCCCTACTCCACCCAGGGCAACTTGTCATGTGTCAGAGTGTGTGTGCATGAGTGTTCCCCAGGGACAAGTGGCAGTGGCACCACTATGTACTGCTGCTATTTGTCCCCAGGGAAATGCATGTGAATGCTGGTTTAGGTGCACCCCATGTGTCTAAAGCTGGGAATCCATAGCTAGGGCTACTTTTGAATAATGTACAGACTGCTCTTTTGGTTGATCCTAAAGGTAAGAATTTATTTCCATGCAATACTTAGATTTAAAAGATAATACACAATTTTAAAATAGGCTTTACTGTCCCAGTATCCATTTTTCTTTAACCTAAATAATAGTCATTAATATGAGCTGACTAGATCATTTGTTGCTTCATTTCTTCTTGTGCAATAACATACAAAGCTTTCTGCAGATTGAATTTCAGGAAGTGTTGGGCCAGCATGGAAAGTGAATAATTTCTGATCATGCAACATGACACAAATTCTTGGGATTTAATCAGTACAATTATATGACATCCAAACAGATATGCATCAGTGTATAACAAATGCATTCAGCTCTTCATAACAGCAGAAATATCTGTTGAAAACTATAAGGCAGGAAGCACCATGAATCAAAATAAAGCTATTACTAACCTCCCAAAAATTGGATTTAGCTGTTTGGGGATGTAGTTTTCACGGTCTTTAATTTCAGTTTTGCCTAGTCTCAGCACAATGTATGGATCTGATTTGCCATCTGGATCAGCTGGGCTAAGGTTAAGTGCCTGGTAAGAACAAAAGACTGTTACATCATTGCTTCATGAAAGGTCAGTTAAATGGATTGTGTTCTGCTGGAGTTAACCGCTCACTGGTGCAGGAGGTGCTCTGAAAATGCAAACGCTTAGCCAGCCCCATCTGCTAACATCATTACTACTACTAACTGGTGGTGGCTGTGGCTATGACTGTTGCTGAGGCTGCTGGTCATGGCTGCTGCTGTGGTGGTTGTAGCTGTGTTTAGGGTTGCTGGTGGCAGTTTAGGTTGTTAACACCAGTTAAGCACTGGGGGCGGACTGTTTAGAGGATGCCTAGCCCCTGATTGCAAGTGGCTAGAGAGGTTATGAGGGGGCTGCTTATGGTCAGAATGGAGTGGATGAAGAGACACAAAGTGGAAAGGCCAAGGCAGGAAGCTGACTTTGCTTGAGGCTTTCAAGTCCAAACTACCTTGAGGATACCTTGCTCTTGCTGCTTTTTCTCTTGTTGCTTCTTCTCCCCTTCCCTCTCTTGTACTTTCCAAAACCCCCCTAAATGTTGTCTTCTCAGGCTCGACCAGCGTCCCCGAGATTTTCAATGAGAAAGTCACAGAATCGTAGAGAAGTCTCATAGAGAAGTAGGGCTGGAAGGAACCTCCATAGGTCATCTACCTACTCCGTTTCAGGGCTACTAACTGCACATCAGGGATGACCCTTGAGAAGGGCTCAAAGTCCAGTGCTGCTGTTCACTGCTCTTGCTGTAATGGAATTGTACCATGCGGACAAAACTTTTGAGAAGCTCTCTTAGGTACAAACCCGAAGAAGACTTTGAGTATCAAACTTCCCATTCTTTCAAAGCAGAAAGAGATGCTGTCTACTTACTGCCACAATGTACACCCTGACCAGGACTTTGATGGGGTGGTTCAGTGGTACCCCGAGCAGAACCTTAGGCTGCCCTCCGTCCATCAAGCTGGAATCTTCAGGACTTTTGTAGATGCAGAAAGAGCCCTGTGAGTACACAGTTATTTATTTCTCTTGTAAGCACAGTATAAGCCTCTTAGGGTGCTTAGCCATTTGCCAATTTCCATGGATTTCAACATTAAAGGCACTGCTTCAGCCAATTTAAATGCACCTGCTCTTTCATGCAGGAGCAGCTTACTCTCAAGCTTTTAACATATTAAAACTCCTCATAACATTGTTTCTCAGAGCCTGTGTTCAGCCTTTGCTCAGTTGATCACAGGTTACTCAGAGCCTTGACCCTAAGAGAGAAACTGACAGGGCCTAGTCATTTCCAGTAGGGGTGCGGGGAATGGGCCCTATTCGATCTGAATTCCGATTCGGCCCAAATCAGGGACAGTGATTTGATTTGTTGATTCAGATCACTGTCCCCAATTCAATTCAGCTGAATCCAAATCTGAATATTTGATGCTGATTCGGCCATAGACACAGCTTTAGGTGGGGGCAACATACTTGGCGGCGAACCCAGAAATGGACCAGAAGTAGTTCTGGTCCACTTCTGGGTCTGCTGGGGAGCACGTTGGGGGACCCCCCCACGCCCTCCTGGCTCAGCGATCAGCTGCAGGGGGACCCCAGGTGTTGCCCCAGACCCAGGAAGCACCAATCACCAAGCTGGGGGTGTGGGGAGGCTCCCCTGTGTGCTCCCCAGTGGACCCAGAAGTAGACCAGAAATGCTTCTGGTCCACTCCCAGGTCTGCTTCCAGGCACGCTGGGGAGCCCCCTGCGCTCCTGTGGGACACTCCATCTGCCCCAGCATCTCAGCTTTCACGAGCCATGCCTAGTGCCTCGAGGTATGTAGAAAAAACATTTAAAGCTGGGTCTATGTCCAAATCTCTGAATCTTTCTGATTTGATTCGGAGAGATTAAAGGGTCTCCTGATTCAATTTGGATTCAGAGATTTGGTCACCAAATCAGGTCAAATCTCTGCCAAATCAAATCAGCGACTGAAGCTTTGCACAACCCTAATTTCCAGGGCTACTAACTGCACAGAAGTGATGGCCCTTGATAGGGTTTGGAACAGGGTTGCTCAGCTCTCTGGCCCCATGAAGACCTGACCCAGTGTGGGGTCAGCTCACCGATGTGATCCAATGCTGGCTGAGCTGCATATGCCAGATATAGCCATATGCTGGCTTGATACCATGCACTGGACAGGGCTGCATGCTGACCCAGTCCTGTGCACCAGATTCTGCCATGTGCTTGCCTAACCTTATGCATCAGATATGGCCACAGAGTGACCTTACACACCAGCCCCCCTGCATGCTGGCATGTGTAGTGCTCAGACTCACACCTATTTTACAGTGCATCACAAAGGAGATATTGCTTTGGCAAATGGAAAAGTAATATCCTGAAGACCAAAGTTTTGTGCCTTTCATTAGACCCCCAGCTCACTGCCTTTCAATAACTGTATTTCATTATTTCCAAGTCATTCCAAGAAATACCCGCAAGCTCAACTTCACAATTACATTAAAGAAATGTACATGATAGCTGTGGCCATTTCCATGTCCCAAATACTAATACCCTAAAGCTCACATCTTGCTTTTCATTACATTGGTCTAAGATGAGTGTAATTTCAATTGATTTAAATCAGGAGTGTCACATTCATCTGACCTTGTGAGGTGGATGAAAGGTGTGGGGCTGGTTTGCAGGCTGGATTGGGCCCGTGCACTGGATCCAGCTCAGAGGGCTGGTCCAATGCGGGCACCTCATGCAGCGCATGCCTTGGACTAGCCTTGTACATTGCATGCAGCATGTGCCAACCCTGGTCCAGGGCTCTCACACAGAGCTGGCATGGGGTGCCTGCTGTATGAGGTGGTCACTCCAGACTAGCCCTAGGTGCTGGCTCCGTTGTGTGGGGCTGGTCTGTGTGCCTGATTAGGACTGGCCTCAGAGCCAGTGTGCAGGGCTGGTCCAGCAGGGCACTGCATGCAGTGCATTCCCTAGACTGACCCACTATGCCATGTACAGTGCCTACAGCCCCAGGTGCAGCCCCGCACATTGTGTGTGGAGTGTGGGCTGGCACATGCTGTATGCAGCATGTGGGGTCAGTCCAAGACCCAGAGGCTGGATCACAGAGCTCCACAGGCTGGATCTGGCCCACAGGCCATCTCTTTGATGCCCCTAATTTAAACAGTAACCTGTTAATGATGCTTTTATAACATGGAATACAATTTGCCACTAAAAAAACTTAAAAAGGGGTAGCCCCAATGCCTAGAATACAAAACAAAAGCTTGTGCTTTAACAACTTGACCACTTCAAATAAATTTGCAAAACATCTTTAAACAGACACTTGCACAGCAATGTACGTGTTCAAGGCATTGATTCTCCTGAAGCACAGAGCACTTCAGTCTGAAAGCAGGAAACTATTACTTTCATTGTGCTTGGAATTACATTTGCAGATTTTCCCAACATGTAAGAAATGTGGAATTGTCTCCCTGTGGATGTAAGTAGAAGCTTCGTCATTTAAGCTATTCTGTGTATTTGAAATTATCTTTCAGAAATGCAGTTACATTAGTAGTGGCTGGACTGCATAGCACAATCATTCTGTTCTGGCTCTAATTACTACGATGCAGTGCAGCTCTGGAATTGGAGCTGTGTGCTCTGGTTCACAACACTAGCCCTAGGTGCTAGCCACACAGTGGGCTGGAAACTGACTTCAATTGTCAGGTCATAGAAGAGATCATAAAACATCAAACTTCTTAAAACTTCAAACTTTTCTGCAACACATTGTGACTTTGGCTGCAACAGGCGAGCTAATTATAGGACTAGACTACCAATGCTTTTTGAAAAACATTCCCTGTACACGTGGAACGTCAGTGAAAACATGCCCCTCTTTAAATTGCCAGGCACCAAATCAGCATTTAAGCTCACCTTAAATTTTCCTATTATTCTGTCCTCGTGGTCACCATGGTCTTCGTCACTGGATTTGCCTCTTAAGAGTTCAAAGGTCTTCACCCAGTCTTCAAAGTTATTAAATTCACTCTCTAGGTCTCCATCGTAGATCTTGAAACATGGGAGAATGCTCATTTCTTAAGACGTAGTAAGTACATGCACAACCATTGTTGCAGTAGAGGGTAAGCCCAAGATCAGTTTTAGCTCGGAAAAAAGGTTTTATAAAATCAAGTATTTGCAAAATTCTTTGGGAACCAACAGGAAAAGATCCCCTCCTCCACTGCTGCTGAGAAATGTTTTATTTTTAACAAATGTGCATGGTATTTTGCCACCCCTATATTTTAGCAGCACCTTAATGCACAAGACATGACAAGAAGCATGGCAGCGTGACAAAAAAAGAAAAAGAAGTATTGTCAATAGCAAGCTTCCTGCACTAGATAATGTAATCCATTTATTATCTAAAAGAGGGTTTTCCACCTCTGTCTGCTACAGCATTATTCTGTGTGAATTTGAACGTAAAGGTGAAAAGGGTACTCCATTTCTGTTGGTCAAGGTGAAGCCTTTCTATTTTAAAAGATGATATAAAGGCTATCATTTCATTATATTATAAACCTGTTTCATGTCCCCTTTTGTTCAACTCCTAGGTTTCTAATCATTTTCCTTGTTCCTAAATCTTTTCTTTGAACATCCTCTATTGTTACTTTCTTTTATAAGATAGGGAGAATAGCATCTAATATATTATTCCCAGTAAGAGCAGACTATCCATTTACATAAGACTTTGAATACTATTTACTTTCCCAATTCTTATACACCTCACATTTCTGAAACATTTAATCTCTAGTAACTGCATTCCTGTACTGATGTTAGTACAAGTAGGTGTTTTAGACTAAATCACTGAACATTTTGAATTGCATTGATACGATAAGGTGTGGAAAAATTCATTTAATTAGCTATATCCAAGGTGAAACTATAACAAAGGGAAACAAAAAAGGCATAGGAGTCTAATATTTAGTAAGGGTGACATTCAACCCTCTTCTGAGTAGCAGCACAATGACTAAATTCCACTCAAGACTCACTGTAGGCTAAGTCCTGGGTACAACAGTCAATTTTGACTTTATAGGATAAAAACAAAGCAATTAAATATTTTTCACCTGCAAAGTTGCCAGATTTGGGGCTTCTTCCTTTAGTTTCTTTTGGAGTAACTTATTTTTCTTCTTTTTTTCTGGTGTCTCTTCAGTGTTTAATGTTACATGGTCAGAAGTCTGCTTAGCTACAGAGATTTGATAACATCATTTAGGCATTAGTGATTGCAATAATGGACCAACCTCAAATGTTTTAGCTGAGTTGGTAAAAAAAAAACATACAGATGTCTTACTCCCTTCCTTCTTCTCCATTTACCCTCTCTCATCTCAAGCAAGTCAGAGATCCCTCTCCTTTTTCATGCCTTTTCCTTAACAGAAACACAATTTTTATACTTCTCTGCTGCTGAGCACTGTCAGATGACAGGATTATGCTTGTTCCCCAAACCTGGTGACTTCCATTCTCACTCTATCCACCATGCACACATTATTTTCTTCTTGTCCCTCCTGTAATCCTTCTTCTTCAGCACTCCTTTTCAGGGAGAGGCTTATCCTGGTGGACTGCCACTGCCAGAATGACTGCTTCTTTGTGATCTCATATAATCCAGATTTTCCTCAAGGCAAAGGCAGCACAGAACACATCTCAGCATGCCTCCTGCCTTGAGGAAGCCCCAGAGAATGTGAGCTGCAATGATTGCAACTGCTAAGCAGAAACAAATTGGTTGAAGCACCACCAAATACCAAAAAAGGCAGGAAGGGCCTTTGAAGTCTAGGTATTTATTCCAACTTTTCAGTTATTCTGGCCTGGTTGTATCTAGGCTTAAGTTTGGGTCAGTCTCACCTTATCAACTGCACTAGCTCTAACATAAATAAGACATGATTATTATTATTAGGAATAACTTTATAACTATGCAAGCATTTAAGCACTGGGACAGATTATCTAGAGAAGTTGTGGAATCTCCCTCCTTGAAAGTTTTTAAAAGGAAGTTAGGCAAACACTTAACTGGAACAGTTTAGATAGGAATGTCCTGCCTTAAGAGGGAGGTTGGACTAGATGACCTCCTGAGGTCCGTGCCAGCCCTACTTTTCTATGATTTATCTATATTTTATATTAGGTATATATTTATATTTAAGGGTATATTTATACATTGATTTGTATTTATATAAGAGTATATGTAGCTGTATATTTATATTAACAATATAGGATTGGAAGGGATGGATACCAAGCTCAGTCCTAGTTGTATAAATCTAGATACAAATATGAAACATATCAAATAAAAATACTAGTGCCTTTCAGCTTTCAAGTCATCAGCCTGGTCAACTGCAATAGAAACTCTATCAAGCACATATCATTGTACATGGATATGATGTCAGACTTTTGTACAGCATTCCCTGTCTATCAAAATATTTATCTCATGTAGACTGATTTGAAATCATCAAAGGTAATGGAAACTCTAGTCAGCTGCTGCTCCCAACGTAAATGACAACTGATACAGAAAGATCCTCAAAATGCTTTGGAAACTCTAAATTACTTCAACGACTAGAAAAATGCTGTCACCTCTAGGATGGGAGTGAAGGCAGCTTTTTAAATGTGAACAGCAACTCTGCACAACCAGTACAAACATTAGATTTCCTTCCGTGTCAAATGTAAGAAATTGGATTAGCAAAATATTTGCTAGAGGCATGGGTCACTATTACAGTGACCTGTAAAGCAACAGATTACTTTGTTTTATTAGTGCATTTACTGTCTATTCTTGGCAAATCTCTCCAAGTGCTGATGCTAAATATTCTTGAGTTGACTTTGAGTTGGACACAGCGGTGGTAAAGCCTCTCAATTCTGTAATCCTTCATAGTCTGTTTGTAGTGTTTTGCTTCTGGGTTGCACTTGAAATTTGTCTTATATTTGGAACACAATACAGCTGCTGCCCAAGAATGTAGTTGTCTCCTTACAGCGTGCAACCTTGTAAATTCATCCATCATTTTGAGGCTGAAATCTGCAAAGAACTGCTCATGACATTTTAATATATTTAATATCTAACCCAAACATAACCTAATCCAGGTATGGATCAGAATCTGAAGACTTTACCCTTGGTGCAATGCTACTAAAAATAACCATGAACAAGGTAAATATTCTTCAATTACCACTGAAACAAATTATTACAAGTAAAAATTATGCAAATGTATTTCTCACTCTTGTTGGGTTTTCCATCACTGGGATAGATTCCCTTTGCCTATCAAAACAAAAAGAGAATGGACAATATAAATATAAAAGGAATAATAAAAGTGAAGTCATTTAGCACACAACCTGGTTTTCAAACACCACTCATCCACTCAGTTGCATGTTTAATTGAAGTGCTGACCTTTTGCATTTTCAGCACAGACGCAAAGTACTTTGACCACCAGTCAATAACATTTTCAGCAGATTCATCCACTAGAGTTCTCTTTTTTCTCTTGGTAGATCGTCCAGAATATTTCCTTAAGTCCTAAGAAAAATGTAAGGAAAATATGTTAAATTCAAAGATTGTGAACTCTTAAAAGCCAAATTGATTGTGAAGACAAGAGGAACTATGTGGGTAGACTGGATTTTCTCTTCTAAGAACTAAATAAATGTTAAATTATTTTGCTTCTCCCTCTTTATAGAGAACCTGTTGTGGTTAACATTTATCCATGCAATCGCTACATTATTTTGACTGACCCCAAAACACTGTACTTCTAAAATCTCATACAAAGCAAACCATTTAAAGGAAAGCTTTGCCGTAAAGAAGCTAGTATTCAGGAAAACACACTTTTTGCTCTGCCCTAGTTTCTTTACCCCTCCCAGATCATTGAGTTTGGGACAGTTTGCAGATATACTCAGGACTTTCAGTATTGCCGACACATGAGTTATGAAGCCAATAAAGATTCTCAATGGCCACTGAAAACACAGCCATTTTGCCCTTAGAAAAGGAAAAGACAGTACCTGCAAACCAACTGCTTGTGCAAGCAGTCCCACTGCCTTCAGTTAGATTACTCATATAACTAAGTATTGGGCGCTATTAAATTTGCATTCAACTTTTCATGCCAGTAAGGAGTTGCAGCATGTCATTGGCATGTATTTAGCAGTGCAGTTACAACAGCAGCTATCATAACCTGTATTAGATGCACACAATTGAATCACCTGGCTCTGTCTATGCACTGCTCTTTATTGTATTGCCCTTATATCTTTAAATGCAATGGTAAAAGATGATAAACACACAAAGGTGTGTATATAGAGGGTCTAAACATCACTGCATTTCTTAGACCTTCAAATTATAAAATAAACTAGCAGGGTCTAATTACGAGAGGCTGCTTTCTTTATCCCACTGCCAAAACCAACTGCAATAGAATGCAAAGGCCTCCAGTTGAGTCATGGTCTGTTTCTAATATTAAAAATGAAAGAATGACTATTATCAGTGAAACTGAAAGCAAAAAAAAGAGAAACAGTTGCTGGCCCATAATTTACACAAACAACCGATCAGAAAAAAAAATATTTTTCCAGCCTAAAATATATACTGCCCACCATAATAGCCAATATTATCTCACTGTTCCCTGGTGCTTCCCCATCCATTTATTCCCCAGTGGTCTCTGGTCTGATATTTGGATTGCAAGTGCTGTGGGGAAGGGACCACCTTTTTGTTCTATCTTTGTATAGCATCTAGCCAGAGTGGCATCCTGTTCCATGACTGGAACTGCTAGGCTCGAAGACAACATCAGTAATATAAATAATGAGAAATTACTTCCAAATAACTCTTAGCTGATGGCCTCAGCTGTGCCCACCTTTTGTTTTCCATCTTTTGTTTGCTGAGACGAGGACAATGAAGATTTAGGAGCAGGTGGAGTCAATGAAGAGGTAGCAGATACAGTTGCTGGAGAAGGAGATTGTGCTGGAACTGGTTCTGGCATTCCTACTGCAGCAGTATCATGCTCCACATCAACATATATATGATCTGTTGGGGGCGGCTGTTCTTGGCGTGATTCAAGTAGCTTTGATGACTCCGGTGATGCTGAAATTGGAGGCAGAGCAAGCTGGGTAAGACTTTGCCAGAAATGATGGTCATCATGTTGATGCTTAAACAGTTATTAACAGTAATGCCTGTCCTTATTCATTGATAGTGCACAATCTGGCAAGGGGCTAAGCAATTACCCCCAACCCAGAATCCCTTAAGTAATGTTTTGCTTTAAGCATGTGTGCAGACTCACTGCAATAAATTATCAAATGACAATTGTTTCACCAAAATTATTACTTGGTATTTTTATTTGGGAATCTAGAATTTACCTCTGCCGGTTTCTACAACTTCCACTGCCTTTGCTGTAGCTTCAGGAAGCTCCTTAGGCTTATATAGAAACTGCTTCAGGCAGTTGATGGTGTGCGTTCCAACAAGCGTGCTGCGACCAAAGGCTCTCCAGTCCACGACACAGATACTAAGGGGCGGGTGCAAAAGTTCATTTTCAGGTAATTCCTATTGGAAGAGAACAGACAACCCATTTGTTTTGTTTGTTTGCTCCTGGACTAAGTAGTCATGAAATGCAATAGTTTGCCCTGGTTGTTAAATGCGTCAAGATGAACAAAATGGTTTAGAGCAGGGGTGGCCAACCTGTGGCACGCATGCCACAAATGGCACAGGTAGCTGCTGTGTTTGGCTCATGGCAGATCAAGCTGGGGGTAGGGATCAGAGTGGCAGATCAGGTAGAAAGTGAGGGAGCAGAGTAGCACTGGTGGTGGGGGGGCAAGGTTTAACTTGTGACACCTGCCAAAAAGGTTGGCCACCACTGGTCGAGAGCAGTGAAGAGGAGTGAATGTTGAGAGGAAAGAATGTATCAGTCCAATAATAATGTCCCTGCCGTGACTTTGCCCTTGTACCTCCTAGGCTCTCTTTCCATAATGTGAGGACAATAAATACTTACCTATCATGGAAGGCTTTGGTGAGGATCAACTAGGTAATGACTCAGCGGCAATGTGTAGGGAGTGCACGGGGGTGCACGTGCACCCCCTGAGAGCACCAGTGCACCCCCTGTCAGGCTGCGCTCCCTGCTCAGGCGAAGGGCGGCAGGGGGCAGGCGGGAGTACCGGCCCCCACTGTGAGTGCTGGCCGGGGAGTGCAAGTGCTGGATACAGACAGCTTCCAGGAGTGCCACGGCCGCTTTCGGGAGCAGCGCAGCAGCTCACCGGTTGGAAAATTCTGCCATGGAATGACCCGTCCCACACCTCTGGTTGGCGAGATTGGCCGTGGGGGGACCCCCTGGTTGGTGAGATTGGCCGCACTGACCGGTCACTGGGGAGGCGGCACATGCCCACCCTAAGGTGGCACCAGTCACCCATGTAATGTCTATATAGCACTTTAAACGTGTCAAGTGCAACAGAAGTTAAAGATACCAAAATAAAACAGAAAGAATTTAGGTATTACTGCCACCCCTGAGATAGCATTGTGCTTTATGAATACTTTAATAGATCTTCATCTCTGCTGTCAGTTCCTATCCTACAGGCCAGTGGACAGTAATTAAAATGTCCAAGCATGCCTAATAAGGGATAGATTCAAGTCAACAGTATAAAAGTCTCCAGTGCTCTTGGGCCACTTAACCGCCCAGTATGGTAACAAGGGCTTAAAAAGGAAAGAAATCCAAACTGTAACATATCTTTGGGGAGAAAAAATTCCTGCTGTCTAGCAACAAGTTCCACCCAGTGGATCTAAATTTAATTGCAATGTGTTTCATTAATGATCTGGCCTAATTGAGATGGAGCTTCTGAACAGTTTCTTCTTCTAGCAAAACGTTGGTAATTGTATCCATCTGGAGCACCTTTAAACGATTAGGTTAATGTATAAGTAATGATTTCTCTCAATGTATAATTAAGACACAGAGGAGTGGTCTGGCAGGGAATCACTGAAATGAGCCATTCATTTGTGTCTTTCGCAGGGACCACACCATGGACAGGAGCACCACATAGTACGCACCACTTCAAACCAATCTGCTTGGACGTTGAAGTTGGGGTTTTTCTTGTAGCTCTGGATGACGCACGATTTAGCGGCTTTCCCTGCACATTCAATGAGAACTTGGGGGCGGTCTACAGAGAGAAGCTGGACCTTCTTCAGTTCACGAACACCCCAGAACAGAACCTATATGGAGAGTTGAAGAGACGTGGTCAGCAACATACAGCTACCACCAGGAACCAGGGGGCAGATTCACTCTGGCAATACCGAGCAGCAGAGAGTACTTCTAAAGCTGGTCCCGGAGGAGCACAAGAACTTGCCTCAGACAACTGTCATTTTCTGCCGTAAAAAAATGGCATTACAAGTTAAAGCAATTAACAACTTCTAATCATTAACCAAACACTGAGATCATCATCAGCAACAGCTGCAGCAATAGCAACAATAATAATTTTATTTGTAATATTCCTCTCCTTTATCAGGCACACATGCTATTCACCTGAACAGCCACCTTCTCAGGAAACAACCTGGCATAGCCCATTGCCTATGTGATGGAAGTATATAAACCCCACCCTAGCTGGGAAGAGGATAATAGCAGCTACCCTGCTCAACTAGGTCTCATGGCTACATCTAGATATGTGCAGGTAACTGAGTCAGCAGGCAGACCTTCAGAGGATGCAGCTTTCCTTTAGAAGGGGCTTGGAAAATGGAGGCAGCAAGGAGGGCTAA